GAAAGCTTGACTGTTACTGTGAAAAAAAAATATTTAATCATATTGACAAAATGTGCAAGTTTGCAAATAGAGCAGATGTAAATAAAAGCACTTTTAAAAAAAAATTATTTAAAAAGTATGGAATGCAAATTTTTTTAACTAATTTTTTTTACTTCATTTCTTTATTAATTGCTGTTTTTGAGTGTTTATTTCTTAATAATATTCTTTTAGATACTAGTAATGGAAATACTCATCTCATTAGTAATGATATAGCTAGACATATCGTAAAAACACTAGGTGACATACTGTTGTATGTAGTACCTTTTGTACTAACATTAGTAATTATATATATTCTTATAAAAATTATAAAATATGAAAAGTTAAAATCAAAAAATGGTAAAATGTCTGCAAAGGAATGTTATAGTTTGTTTATGTAGATTAGTAGATGTAATATTCCTACTTGTATTATATATGCTAGAAGAATATATTTTCCGTATGCTTTTTGATACATTATACTCTCTTTGTTTGTCCTAATTAATTAATGTAGTAAATAATAGTAGTATTTACTTAAACGTGATTTATTCATACTTTTTTTGTGTACAGCATGCTATGTTTAGTGTGAAATGTTTGTTTATCCTTATATATATAGTGTTGCAATATTTTTGTAAACTTTGTAGAGTGCAATTTTGTGCAATACAAGAATCGATGTAAATATATTTATTATATGTAAATTGCATTTAAATAAATACGTATTGTTCATTAAATATATCATTATAAATCTTTAATTATTATTAAAATTGTTACTTAATGTTTGTGAATATATGTGAAATATATGCTAAATATATTTGAAATAAATGTGAAATATGTGTGAAATATATGTGGAATATTTATGAAATAGCTTTGAAACATATATAAAATATATGTGAAGTATATATGAAATATATGTTAAGTATATGTGAAATATATGTTATGTACATGTGAAATATTTGCAAAGTATTTGTGAAATATATGAAAAATACTTTTTTTCTCGTATTCTACATCCGTAACTGCTCGTGTGTATGTAATTTAGTTAATATTAATTTATTCTGAATTAATGGATTTTGTTATCCAATAACTATAATATGTAAATATTTCTTTATTTTTCTTTTTTAATATTTTTTTACGTTCAATAGTTTAATTAACATTATTTTTTTAGTGTAAACTAAGCAAGTGTAAAAATTGTAAAATAAATCAAATATTGTATTTTATTTAAAATCCTCGTCAAAGAAAGACTTTAAAGGTCTACATATGAAATTATAAAGTATTACATTATATAATAGCATTTACTCATAATTTATATATATATATTAAGTACCTTATGAGTCCATTCATAAATCAAAGTATTCTTTTTATCAATATGAAAGGACAATAGAATACGCAAATATCATAATAATGTAAATATATATTGATAAAAGTGATGCATATATTAAAATAAATTTATATATAAAACAGAATAATCAAAATATGATAATATATATAATATACCTGATTTTTTCATAACTTAATAGTATATTACATACGCGTGTAAAATGTAAATAATTTACTTCTAAATTTATTATATTGAAGGAAATAAAGAAATATTAATATAAATATTAAAAAATATATGAGCAGTAAATTTAAGGAAAATAAACCTTTAAATTATGATATAAAGCTATTAATTAATAACATATATACTCCAATTAAGGTAAAAGGGTAAAACTACTTTTATAAAATCTTTATATATAGAAATATATGTACTTATACTACAAATTATACTTAGTATTAACTTTAATACACAACATTATGCTTAATAGGTACATAGAATATAAAAAAAAATTATAAAATATATAATAAAAGTGTTTTACTAATATAAAATGAAAATAATTAAATTTATTTCCTTTTTATTCAACAAATGGTATAGTGCAAATAAAAAAAATTTAGTATTTTCGAAATACATATTGTTGTAATTTCTTTTCTTATAACATATAATAAATAAGAATATTAATATAGAAATATTAATAATATTACCTAATGTATATAATATAAATCAAAGATAAGTATAATAAACCTTTCCCATAATAAAAAAACATCATTTTCTTTTTATTATATTAAATTGGTATTTAAACACTTAAATTATATTATTACAGTTTATATGCAAAATAATACATACACCTCTTATATTATAAAAAGAAATTAGACAATAGTAAAACATAAAACATACGACATAATTACATAATGTATATATTATATTACACATAAATTAAAATGAATGTGAAATATTAAACACAAATATACTTAAGAAAATATTGTTTTATGAGTGAAAATTATAGAAAACTAAATAAGTTCCCATTTAGTTCACAAACATTAAATTACAAATTTAATGGGATAATTAGATTTATGTTAAAATAATAAAATTTTTAGTCAAGCAATCTTAAATATATATATACTTTATATATAATTAAAATATATTAAATTGACACATAAACTATACAATTATTACCCTTACAAAAAATTAATAAAACCTTGAAAGCAAATGCAAATTAAAATAATGTCATATATTAGTTAAATACTTCATACTATATGAAAATTCATATCAATAAATTATAATTAGATAAATAATAATTAATAAGTATTTTAATTTGAGTGAAATAAACATATATTAAAAATTAAAAAATACACGAAATTTTCACATGCATATAGATAAAATTTGTAGCAATATCATATCTAATTAATTATTTAAAAATATCTTTACAAAAATGATAATATTCCTTTGCACTCATGTAGCCTTTCCTTGCTTTTAACCTTTCGTATTTTTCAATTTTTATAAATATATAAATAATTGCTAATGTAAGAATAAAAGGTATGACATATACAAATATGTCACCTAGTATTGGTATTAGATGTTTGTTTAATTCTTGATAAACAGTATCTTCGTATTTTTTTAAAATAATTTCATGCCTATTTAAAATCTGTATAATGCCTATTACTGCAGCTATTAAGTAAAAAAAGTTAGTTAAAAAAATTTTCATTCCATACTTTTTAAATAATGCTTTTTTAAATAATCTATTGTTTTTATTTGGACTATGCGCAAGTTTGTATACATTATCAATTTGATTAAATATCTTTTTTTCACATAAACAGTCCAATTTTCCTAATCCCATCCTTTTATCATATCTATCATTATATTCATTCATATAAGTGTCTAAATCTTTTAAATTTGCTAATTTTTGTTTTTTTTTCTCTATTTTTTCTTCCTTTTTTTTTTCTTTAATTTCTTTTTTCTCAAGAGCTTTTTTCTCATATTTCTCTTTAATATCTCTCTTTTCCTCTAATATTATGTCTTCGTACTTATTCCAAATTACGTATTCTCCGATAGCATAAAATATTTGTGATAAACAAGTAATCATTAGTGTAAGAAATAATAATGAGTCTAATGATTTATTCATTCCATACGTTGAATTACTGTACTTGTGCGCAAAAATAATAACTAAAGCAAAATGTATGGATTTTATAGCAATATCATTATTAATAGCTTCAAAAATAGAAAATAGTATAGTACTGAGTTTTGCAGTTAATGGAGCAGAATTAATTAATATGTAATCTTTACGTAACATTTTTTCTATTGTCTTATTTGTAATAACTTCATTTAAATTATGATTAATGGATTTTTCAGAATGTCCCCTTACAACATCTTTAATCGAATAATCAATTGATTTTAAGCATTTGTATATATAACATATTTGTTCTGAATCTATATTTATTGCATATTGTAGGATAAAACTTTTTTTATATCTTTTAGATTTATATTTTGATATATTTTTTAAGTTATTAATTGTTGATACATCATTTTCAACATTGCATAATTTTCTATTATGAAAATTATATGACAAATTATTTTTTAATCCCGCATTATCAAATAGTGTTTCTGTTTTTATTTCTACCAATAATCTATTATATCTCATAATTAATGTGTTATCACTACAGCACATCATGTCCAAATATTTACAAATTCTACTCTGAAAAAAAAGAAAGATATATTGTTATATGGATTAATTAGCTATGCATCATTGATCAATGTCTTATAAATATAAGAAATGTTATAAAGAACGCACAACACTCATATATTAATATAATACCTCACGAATAAAACACAGATATATCCATGTTAGAAGCATAAATGTAATGATTTTAATAAAATCTGTAATACTAATATTTCTTCCCATTTTGAAATGATTAATACACCCATATATATGTATGTTCATAAATTTTTATATGTGATGTATGATGAAATGTCTATATTTATAATAAGATTTATTTTTGTCTGATACATGAAGTAATGTTATATTTAAAAATATTTTAAATGATGTCCTCTGTTATAAATTATTATTTATATATTTGTACATATAAAGCCAAATCCTATAGGAAAACACATTACGTATATATCATATATGTAGATCTTCATTAAGATTGTTTAATTAAAATACCATAATATATATTGTTTTCATAATAAATATTCATTAAAAAGAATACTGAATGAAAATTCCATTGAGGCATAAAAAATATTCTATATAATATATAAATAATATATTCTGATTAAGCATTTTAATCATTTTCGTGAACAGGATAATTTGGGATATATATCCATTCTTTATATTCTTCAAAATATAATAATGTTAAATCTAATATTAATGTACTGCTACAAAAAAACATGAATTATTTTATTAAAGGATGTTATATGCATTATACTTAACTGCAAATGTTGCTTTTTAAAATATATGTAGTAAAAATTATTATTTCATAAATTTTATTAATTGCTATTTAACATTTAATAAGATATAAATTTATAAAATAATACATAATTTTTTATGTATTTCTTCTATAATTTAACTCCACATATATATGTGGGCATAGATGTAATTTCAAACAATAACAGAATTCAAAAATATTAATACAATAAATATGCAGAATATATATCATAAAAAGAATCTATTATATATGTACGCGGTAATTTTTTATTAGAATAAAAATTTATAACATATTTGTGCAATAAGGTTACATCTTAAAATTTTATGATTAACTTGCAGACATCATCATTTATAGGAACTAATTTATTTTTCTCTACTTATTAATATACATATGAAATATATTATTATGAATATGTAATAGAATTCTTATAGATTAGAACCATTAAACTTTAATCAATTACATAATCTGTTTCAATGGCTTAATAGAACTTAACAATTAATATGAGTCTATATGTTAATGCAATTCCATTATTACAACTACTAATATATTCCTTTTTTATATATTTATATATATTATACATAGTCACAATAACTTAGAAAATATCTTTTATATGAATTCTGTCATTTTAATTTTCATAAATATATATAAATGAGGTATAAAAAAAAAAGGCTCATTAACGGTTTTATATTATATTCACTCAAATTTTACATTAAAATTATATTATCATTCACTATTACTACCATATTAAACTCTTAAAAAAATAATTGAATTTTAGTCTTACAGCAATAATTATAGAATATAAATAATTTATTTCTTTCATTGAAGTTTATACAAATGTTAATTTCCATTTAGTTTTTACATGTATAATTGTAAATTATGTCAATAATGTGGTTCTATCATCATTACAAATGAATAATATCGATAAAAATATAATATTAAGTATCATATATTTTATATTTTTTTAATAAATTGGAATAATCCATAAAACAAGTTCATGCTTACAAATATAAGAATTATATTAATATTTACAATTTTTCACATATTCATTCTAAAAAAAATAATAAGCTTCTAGCAAAAAGTATAATATGTGATTTATGGTATGCATATGTATATACATCAGTTATTCTTTATATAATAATTTTTTTTATATTATTTATTTTATATGAAAAGATAAAATTAAAAAAAAACATGTTTTTTAAAAAATAGATCTAAACTAGTTCATGTTTTGTATTAAAATAAAAGAAAACTGTATTAGTAAAAACAAGGAATACAAAATCAAAAAATATGTTAAAACAAAAGAGGTAATGAATCATAATATTTAGATTCAAAAAATTAGTTAAAAATGTAGAGGTACACAGCATTAATTTTTATTATAACATATATAATTTTCCAGTAATACTATTAAAAAGTGACAATTCATATTTATTAATAAATTTGCTTATAGTGTAGAAATTGTATTTTCCGGAATTATTAAACGTTAATAATTGTAGAAATATATATTTATTAACATTAAACATAAAATATAAATATAGCTAAAAAAGTGGGATGAATAAGTTCATACATGAAAAATTGCCACAAAATACTCACATTAAATATGGCACAGAAAAATTAATAGCATAATATAAATTAAAAATGTTAAAATAACATGAAATTATTTTCCAAATCTATATATATCAAATTACAAATAAAAATTTATCCAATGAATACTTTACAAAATGAAAAATATAACTTTGTTCCTTACAACATTTTTTGTTTTTATGTTTTACAATATTAATCCATAAGAAAAATAATAGCTAATATAAATAAACCAAAAAATATTAAAGAAGCACCATAATATGCACTTATATACATAACATAGTAAAATTCGGGTACTCCCAAATATATCCCTTCTATTAAACTTAATGCTGGTATTAGCGCTACAAACGAAACTAAGGAAAGAACAGAAATAAATAATTCAATACTTCGTAAAAATTGTTTTGTTCTTATTCTATGTTTATCCCAGTCTATATGTTGTTTAAAATTTCTTATGTAATTATAGGCTGCAATGACTTTTTCTTTACAATTTAGATTTGATTTTTTAAACAATAGTTTTAAAGGTGATTTATTTTTTGCGTAATTCTTTTCGGCCCCATTTCTTCTATGTTTTTGTAGTTTTAGTTCCTTCATCGTTGAATAAGGTTCTGATACATTTTTTAATTTTTTTTTCCCGCTTTTATCCCAACTGTTTTCATCCAATCGTGGATTTTTTAATCCTTCACCAATTTTTTGATCTGTCAGTAGTCTCTTATTTCTTATTCCAAATGTTCCATTTACGTATATTGTTTCATTGCATGTTTCACCAATTGTATACTCAAAAAGAAAAACAAATAAATATTATATTACTTTAGATAATTATATTATAACAATAGAACATAATAATATATTACAAATAAAAGTACATATATTAAAACATAGACCTACCAGATCATGTAATTTATAATTCCATGTTAAAGCTATTAATATAAAAATTTTAGAAAAAATATATTTATTCTTCATTTTCTTAAATATGTAATAATTCATTAATGTACTTACTACATATTATAGCATATAAAATGCCTTATTTTTTGTTTTTATTTTTTAAATTGTGTTCTTATTACAACATAACTTTAATAAATTCTTATCTTAAAATAATTTTGAATAATAATATTATCATAATATTTATGCAAATATAAAATAATGTGAAAATAATTAAAAATATTTTATAAAAATTTACGTGCAAAAAACCTTTCTAGAAAGATTATTATCATTAAAATAAAATTAATTGAGCATCCTTCATTAATATAATAAATGAAAAATTCATTATTTTATAATTACACCATTATGTACAATTTAATATAATGCTGTATAAATGGCACGTAATTCTCATACATATATGTAAATATAATAACTATCTAATTCAAAAAAATATTTAGTTTAATAACTCAATTAATGAATAAGATGCACATTATTGAAATAAGTAATTCTCATTAATTCACATAATTTTTAATGAGACATATTATGACGATAAAAAAAAAAAAAAAAAGAGATTTAATTATCTTTTATATGAATATAAATAACAGTATTTTCCACGTCTATATAAGAAAAAAATACTTTTCTATCTTATAGATCATAAATTAAGAACATCTGTATTATTAATATGCTACTAGGGTTTTATTTTGTATGGAGTTAATAATAATTTCAATTTTGTTCCTTATAACTAAGTAATGAGTTTTTTATTGTAAAAAATTATACATATTACATTTGTAAAAATATATATTTTATATGCGGTAATATCAATTTTTCATTCATATTTACAAATATATGTTATACAGAGTTACGTCAATATTCTTAAAAGAAAGATTCTACTGACCATAAATTTAACGTAATAAAATAATGTATTCATATTAATATATTTACATATATTTCAAAAGGAACTGTGATTAGTGCATTATTATACATTTTACATATTTTTAATATAATCAAATATTGAAACGAATTTACAATTTCTCCGTTTAAGAAAACACACATTCAATGTTTTTATTTCTAGTTTGTTATTATTTTAGTTTTTATGACACAAAATGATAAAATGAATTCAAAGGGCATTAAATTAAAATAAAACATTAATAAAATAAATTAATATTACATAA